GCAGATTATGAGATTCATGCGAGAGTTGAATAGTAAATTGGAAGCTTAATGATCATGTCAGTATAATATTGCCTAGACTGCCCTATAAAGATGTACCCAGGTATCATATATATCCTGGATTCATTTAGGATTCATATCCTGTCTACATGGTCTCTCTCCAAATCCTATGGAGAACATTATTTCCCAGTGCAACAGAATTTGTGAAAAAAACAGTCCATGGATTATATGTGTGTGCTTCTTGGGTCCTGTTGCATATGGCAGAGCTCCCAAAGTGTGGAAGGGACCAAAAAGCATAGGCAGGGAATAAGAGAAGGACATATATAATACCTATAGACCCTTCCCTGTCATTATGGACATGCATTCTAGCCTATTCCTCTCCAGATTCTGATGTGAAACAAACAGGACCAGATGTCTGATCACTGAACATGTTTCAGTAATCGTGGTTTTGGCACTACAATATAAAAGTTATCTATTTTAAAGTAACTGTTCAGGGCACAAACTTTTATAAGAAACAGGTATCCCTAGTGGCAAACTGTCAAATAAAACACTTGAGCAAATGACCAGCTTTCTTCCTATTTATCATGTCAGTCATGGGAGGAAATAATAAAGATTTCCAAAGGCGTGTCTCGTGGCCTGTAGAAATGTGTTCACCATTCAGAACTGGTTTCGAGATTAAGTGAGTTGAAGTAATTTCTCCTCTGGGGATCTGAAGAAAAACAAATTTATAAAAAGCATCAGTTATCTTGATGAAAAATAAAATGCATGGGTTGCTTTTGAAGGGACCTTCCAACCCTGACTCTTTTCTTTAGCTGTTCCAGCTGAGTAGTGAAGTAAGAACTAAAAAGAGCTAAAAACTAAAAATCCTCCTTGAGTTTTGCAAAGTATTGTTCCAAAAGAAAACTTTAAAATGATTAATAGCATTTCAAGACATTCAAGAATTCATATGCAAATCTCAGATTTCTTGGAATGTCTCTTTTATGTGAAGTGCCACTTTTTTCATGCAGATGAATTAAACAATCAGAGTGATAGTTCTTCTAGATCTGACTGGGAAACCCAACACAGTCTTAATGTTGAAATGTGGGGCCCTTGCTTTCTGGAATGGCACATCAGCTCCATCCTGGTTATTTAGGAAGAAGGTAAAAATAGAACTGTTTCAGACAGCCCTTAATGGTTAAGATCATTGTTGGATGAGAGATGCATCACCATCACCATCACCATCGTCATCATCATCACGATTTTTTAAAAAATCGTATATTGTTTTATAGTTCATTGCATTATGATCTTGTCCTGATTGTTTGTGATAAACTGCCAAGTGTCCTTTGTGAGTGGGATAATAGAAAAATAAAGTAATAAATAGTTCAGACTCTAGATCTTGACTGGAGCAGGCCTCTAGTTAAAATAGGTCCTGGTTAATTTTAATACAAATGTGTTTAACTCTTTTCTATTGGAATCTTAACTACAGAGTGAATGCATAGTTATCTAAATATAATATGTAATATATGCCAAAGTATTTTTTCCTTACATAGTAATTATTTCCATTAATTTCAATATTTATTGTTTTACCACTATCCCTATTTAACTTTATTCATGGAATTAGGAATGAAACTAATATCTCAGAGATTTTACTTCAGCATGTTAGCAAATTTTACAATCCCTCCTCTAACCAATAAGGCTATTTTGCTTTTAATTTAAAAATATATAATATCACAATAAAACTGCAATTAAAACAAAAGCAGAAACAAGAACAATCTCAAAATTTATCAGAAGCATGGCAAACTGTGCTCTTTTAGCTGCCTGTCTAAAACTCATTAGGGATGGAACCAACCTGGCTTTGATCTGGAACAAATCCCACAAGGACCGTGCTGCTAAAGGAAAGGCCTAGTCTCCTGTTACCCTTAATTTAGACTCCCTTGGCAGTGGGACACCATTAAAAACTGCCAATTATGGCAAACTGAAATGGGGAGGAGAAATGCTTCAGATAAGACGTTTAACAAATAGGCATGACCTTGAATTGGGCTTAGAGAGAATGGTGCAAGACTGACAACACATCATTTCCCATATTCGAACTGGGCATCACATTTTGCAGACTCTGTTTCCACATTTTTTTCCCAATTTGGAGCCCAGCTCAGTGACAGAAACTAGCAAACCTTGGCTGATTTTGAAAAAGCAAAGCAGAATAAAGTTCTTGGATGGGAGACCACTAGGAGATCCCACAATTATGAGTTAGTCTGGGATGTTAAAAAAAATCTGGAAAAAGACCAATTTTGTATTGTTGCTAGGAAAACTATATGAATCTGCCTATAGTCATGAAGAATCAAACTTAATTTCTGGGAGTCTTATTATTATAATAATATAAGTTTATCATTACAAACTTATTTACTTATATTTTGGAGGCGGGATACACACAACATTTTAGCCTAGTATTTATCCCTTTTCTTTGGTCCTTTTTTTGAAAGTGTTTAACAAAAATGCATTTAAAAATTAGTCTAGCATGTGAAGGGAACCTAGTTTAAGAGATTAATTTAAAATTCAGAGATTAAAACTTTTTTGAACAAGAACACAGAATGATGAATTCATCATGTGAGGTTAAGGTACTCAACCCTGCCAATGATAGGAGGGTTGAAGAGTAGGGGATGCCCAAATGTTTACATGTGCCTTCCTTCCAAATCTTGGAGACAAATGAAGAATGATACAAGAGCCAACAAATGCAATTTTGAGAGGAAGTTCTATAGTAGCTAAAATAATTTTTCCGGCATAATCTACAGATCATTCCTAGTTTGCAAGACATCCACTCCCACAGCTGGCATTTTAGCAAATCCACACATGAAACACCCACTTTGCCAATAAATAGCAGACTGTTTCAAATAAGAGAGAAAGCTAAGAAAGTCCATTCTTTTTAGGGACTCCCTATTAACCATTTCAGCACTGGATTCTTAACACTGCTTGGTTTCTTGTCAGGTTACCAGGGAAAGATACTGAACTACGTCCTCAGCTAGTTGGCTGAATAGACTTTTTCAACTGCATTCACAATGAATTAAGGAAACATGGAGTTCCCTGACAGTTTTCAACCCTCTCATGTAGTAACTGGCTGTTTAAAAACATTTAAGTATCTCCTATTAAGCCCTTTCAATTGTGAAGATTTAGGGCTCTTCCGGGCAGTGATGTCAAACTGTTATCTGCCAGCAAGAGAGAATGCCCACACACTCGCTGATCCCTGTTCTGCCATAGAAATGAGGCCAAGATACGGTGCTGTCCTTGCTTTCATGTGGGTCAAATTAAGGAAAGTGAATTGTGGATTGCCTTGTGTTTCCCCTTCCACCAAATGGCCCATCACTCTCCTTAACATGGATTACGGTCAGATTGGACAACAGTAGCTAAGTGCTTGGAATGGCAAGTTTAGCCACTTGTCAAGCTGCCCATATAACAGGTGGAAAAGGTTGGAGAGGGGGATTGAGATGAAGCAATCTCCTGATGCTTCTGCTCAGAACAGCCCCTCTTCTATGCCTATGACCTGTTAAACAGTCCATTTCTGAATACAGGAGGGCTAAATCCATGTTCAAAAGGAGTCTGGCAGTCAGGTTCCAGGCATGGAAGGCTTAGGATGAAGTGGGAAACTGAGAACAAACAGGGCTGCAAGGGAATAGTTTGCTGGCAAGGAGTGACCAAGGTGTCCAGGTTCTGGCTGGCTACCTGGAAGTAGCCAGTGGGTGGCCATGGAGAATGTCCCTTTGTGACTGGGTCTTGCATAACAGCAGTCATCACCACAACATCTACTGCTCTCAAAACCAGAATGGAATAGGCAAAATGATGCTGCCCCTCCCCCAGCCCATTACCAAGGGTGATATAAGTAGCTGTGGTTCATTGAATAAACAACGATAGGAGCTGCAGCTGCGTGAGAGTGATCTTAGGAGCACTGAGCCATCAGGGTGACAGTTGTAAGTTCTCAGAATGTAATAAAAGTAGCACAAACAGTAAAAGTGTGGCCATCTGAAACCCTGGTGCATAATGCACCCAATGGTTACAGAGCTAGCAATGTACAGCTGGCAGGACCTGGTTCTCCTTCTCGGTCTGTGCTGACATTCTGTTTAACACAGAACTAGCACGCTTTCAGGAGAACAGTAGACCCATTTTTTAAGCAGAAGTGTAATGCTCTTTCAGTAGAACACTGAACCTATGTAGATAAGGAGATTACAGAAGATCTGACAAGTGCTATGGAAAGTGCCAGCCAGACATGGTGCAAGCAGATGCCCCAAGGAAGCCAATGTGGCCTTGAGGGAAGTTCAGAGATAGGAAGGGAAGGTGTGGGCCTGCAGCAGCCTAAAGTGGCCATCAGATCTGGGCACTTCTTAAACCAACTGCATCAGCAACCACATTGTTCATGAAGTGTGCCAGATTATATAACTAACAAAAATTGTGCTGTGAGAAGAGGAGGGCTAGGGATGAGATGAAATCAAGGTCATGAGGAAAGGCCAGGAAAAAAGCAGTTGTCAAGACCTGTTTAGAGGAAAAGCCCGTAGGCTAGATGTCATGTGGTAAATCAGATCCTGGAGGAAAGGCAGGATATAAATCTAACAAATAAAACATAGTGATGGTATTATGTGCCATTTCTGAACTGTTCAGAAATTAGTAATGCTGAGTGTTATTTAAATAAAGCCTCCAGATTGAGGTTTTTATCTCTAGAGTCTTTTTCTGTGCACGCACTGTCTTGGGACAATAAATACTAGTACTTACAACTTTAAAGGCTCTCCTTGAATGTCCAGGTCAGCTGGAAACAGCAGAATCTGAATGAGAAGGATGTCAGTAATTAATATTTCCCTTCCATGAGCGTAACAGACAAAACTGGAGGGGAAGTTAGAGTTTTTGACCTCTCAGCGGCATGCAGATATTCCACAGATCCAGTTTTCCTCCTCTTAATTATTACCTTCCCTTTACTCCATATGGGTACTCACTGACATAAGAAATTAAATTCAGCACTGAGTAAAGGAACAAGTGCTGTCATCCTACTCGGAAATTGGCAGTTCAATCAGCTCAGAGTAGTAATTCAGCTGCTTCTTACCACATCCTTGCTTGTGAACATGAGGCAGGCATTCCAGAGTCCCATAAATACAGCGACATAATTGGCATTCTTCTTGAGACCACTCACCATGCCCGAGGGTACCACAACTCCTAAGAAATCACAATGCTTTTAGTGAATGGGAGCTTGTGATGAGCCCCAGAGGCTCCCAGATACCCTCATAAAATCACAAAAGAGAGGTGTTTCTCTTCAGAAGCACAGGTGGGGAATTTGGAGTAAGCATCACTCTTGTTAAAGCAACAGCTAGGCAGGCAGCCAACCAGCAAACCACCCCTTCTACTTCTGTAACAATACATCACCACTTTCGATGGTGCCTACAGAAGAACTCAGGCTGGATAGGACTGATGGGAATTCAACGACATATGGAAACTTAACATATAAAGAGTCAAGCAGCATCCAGATTGAATAAAATAAAATAAATGGAAAAGAGGGACAGAGAAACCCTCTTAGGCTGGGTTTTTACTCCAAAATATGACTAAGTTAGATACTATATTCGCTCTGGTTGGGAGTTCCTTTTCATAATTAAAGTCTTTGGAGTTCAGTTTTGAGAAGCATATTAAGACTGAATTAGGGGATTATTGGGGGATAATGAGAATTGTAGTTCAAGAATAACAGAGGCATCAGGTCAGATAATGTTGTTTTCTTTAAACATTAAACGTACAGATAGTTTAAGAGTTAAAGTGGGGAGATCAATTTCAAATCCCCCCTTAACTGCAGAGCTCACTGGATGACTGGGGTCAGGTCCCTTTTTCTCAGCACCATCTACCTTAAGGGTGGTTCTTGTAGGAATAAACAAAGGAAGACTCTCCCCATGAATGTTACCCTGAGCTCACAGAGAAAAGGTGGATAAAAATGCAATAAATTAAATAAAATGTCAATTCCACAGCACAAATGGCACCACATGTGGAACATTTCTATATGCTGCAGCTCTCAAACTCTCCCCCACCCATCTTGTTTTTTTCTGGACTAGATTTGGAAGAGGAAAGGAAAGGAAGGGAAGGGAAGAAGGGAGGAGGAGAGGGGGGGATTGTGTGTGATTTTTGGGTGTGGAGAAGTCCACTAGCACAATGCTGGATGGATCCCAGAGACAAAGAGCCCTTTTACACACCTGATCCTTGTATCATATTCGCAGTATCTCCCAGTGAAATGTTTTGGGCATATACAAAAAGTTCCCAGGAAACAAGTTCCTCCATTTTTGCAGCAGTGTTTGTTCAATTTGCTAGCTAGAAATAAGTGAGGGAGAAATCATAAAAAGTATATTAAATTATTTTGAAGAAATAAATAGACCCTCTTGAACGCTATTATCCTACAAACATCAAGCAGCTACATATGGTAAAGACTCCACCAGTTTCCCTACCCCTGTGCCTACTGTAGAGTTAAGTCCCCTTTTTATTATAAAACAAAGAAAGACACTGGTTTGTGGAAGTTAATGTTCTGTAGATTTGTCTTCTAATACAGAGAATGAATTACCCTTTACAGTGGGTGCTCTATACAAAGCACAGGGGACTTTAGAATTGATATGATTTTGTACAGAACAGTTTCATTCTCTTGTAAAAGAAGAGGAAGCAATTCTATGCATATTCTGACATTGGTCAAGGATTGGAACTGGAACTGGCTGGTGGGGTGACTGATACTACTCCCCCCATCATCTTGAATTGTATACTGGCTTTTATAGAATTGTTACTTGTGATTTTAGTAGGGCATTTTAATATCTGTATTGTTTTTATTTCTTGGATTTTAACTGTAAGCTGCCCAGAGTCACCCTTTGGAGGAGATGGGCAGCATATAAATTTAATAATAACTAACATAAATTTAAAAAATTGGTCAACTGAACAATTAAGAAACATTATCATTTATGAAATGTTGGACATGCTGTGCTGTGTATCAAATTCAGCAAAATGCTTTGAGGATGTTAATTCATGAGAAGAGGTCTTCCAGCTTCTAAAACATTAAAGTTATGTTTCTTAAAAGAATGAGGTAAAAAGTTGACATTTCAGATGGCTTCAGATTTATTAGAAGTCATCCCTAAAACCTGGGGTGACTTCAAATAAATCCACAGAATGGACACTTACCTTTTGTTTCATTAGCAGTATATATCACAAGCAATAGTTACATAAATTCAAGATTATGTTAAGCTCTGGGTTGTCATCTATGATTGCTTGCATAGGATTGTGCTTATCAAAGTTCAGGTTCAGAAACAGGAGCCATTCTCATCAGTTGTTAACACTGTAGGAATGGCAAGTCATCTTATAATGGCCATCAGACATTATCCTGTGCTTACAGATTGTAGCAAAGTTTCTCATGACAAAGAGTGAATACAGTATATAGTTAAGGCATGCAGCTAATGGAGGAAGGGTATTCATTATTGTTCTAAAGATAATGAAAATAGAATGGTTCAAAATGCTAGGAAATGTTATGTGTTTACCAGTTTATGGGGAACAAACTTCCCAACCTAACCACCTCCAGAAGTGCTATAGTACAAATTCCATTGTTCACAGACATCTTGGTGGCCAGTGGGTTTGATGAAGATGTGGAAAATCACAGTCTAACACATAATAGAGAGTACAAGCTTGGCAGAAGGCTGGTGTAAAAAGACTGAGAGCCAGAGTTGTTTATGGAGACTCTATTTTTGAACCCTATTCATCTGTAACTTCATTTTTATCTTGAGAAAGTCATTATCTCCAGCCATATTTCTACCCTACAAAATAGGCACAATATAATTTTTTTCTTAAGGCTATTGTGGAAGAATACTGAAGAGTATAAAATATTTTAAAAATTCAGAAATTCTATATAAATTATAGATAACAAACAGCCTTGCTATTAATATTGATGTCAACACAGAAAAGTTCCAATTTTTATATGGAAGTTAGAAGACAATCAACATTTGTATGTTGATTTTATATTATATATATAATATAAGTTTTTATATTGTCTAAGGAACATCCTATGTAACTTAACATTTTTTCCTTTAAGAAATTGAAATGTATTAACCACACATATTTGAATTTGGCTTGATATTATCTAAACCTTTAACATAGGGACAATATTCTTTTGGAAGAAAATATAGTTGATTAATCATTTTGCTTGATTTCTATGAACCAGTCAATCTGATCATTAAAATGATCATTAAAATTCTTCTAAGGATCTCTTTAAACAGGTAGCAAACAGCAACTAATCAGTTACTTGACTGTTCCTCTTCTATGAATTTTCCTAGAGATTCCATACTGTGGCTGGGTTCACACACAGAATTAATTCATAACGTAGTTCCAACCAGCCATTATAGTTTATAAACTACTTTTTATAGTTTAGCACAATATATGAACCCTGGCAATAGTTGGTATTAAGAGATACTGTAGCTAGTGGATTTTATGCAGCTGGAGCAGGGTTGGATTAAATGATATTTAAAGGTACCTTCCAGTTCTGATTCTAATAAAGTTTTGTACTTATGTGTAAATATACTTCCATACCATTTTATAGAAATCACAGTTGTTGTAAACACAATTTAGGTTATAAATTCAAAGTTAGTATAACCCCCCAAATTGTGTTCTTAACACAAATAGGAACTGATTGATATGACATAAATATCTCTGGAGATCAAAGAAACCTAAGTTTGAATCCTCATTCAATTGTACAGTTCAGTAAGCACCACTGGGTCAGTCACTTATTAGGTGCTAATCTTACATCAAACCATTACTTGAACCCAGCTGTTATGGTATAAAAGTTATAGTTTATGACTTAATTTATTATTATTATGGAATTAAATTCCACCTTTCCTCCAAGAACAGAAGTAACATATACACCACTCTCTTTTTCCCATAACAACAACACTGTGAAGTGGGATGGCCTACATGAAGATATCTAGTGGATTTACAGGACTGGGGGTGGACTTGAACCTGGGTCCTGGTTCAAATAACTTTAATAGTATACTACATGATATATTAGGTCATACTGTATGAACTCACTTAACTGTGGTTTAAGAAATCATGATTAACCAATATAGGAACTCAATCTACTTCACAGAGTTGTTATTAATATAAAAAGAAGAGAGAATTCTCATACCTTGGACCCCAAGAGGAAAAGTGCCTCTAGGCATAATAGTTATTTCCTAGTTTTTCCTCTTGAGAAGATCCAGATGGACATCTTTGTAATGTTTATTTATTTTTTAAGTCATCAAATATCTGAAGCTGTCCGGGTGGTTTATCATCAAACATAAAAATCTACAGCACTTTGTACACTGCAAAAACTTACCATCTGTGATCCCGACAAAAGGTATAAAATTAGGTGGATTGTTCTTCTTCTTCTCAGAATTAAGTTGATTGAGAATATTGAGGGTATTCAGAGGGTGATTCCGCTCCTCCAGACTTGGGGCATCCTTATCACAGTCTTCGCCCTCACAGGCTTTTAAAGGAGAAGAAACACGTCAAAGTCAGTCGTGCCCACACCACTGCCTTTCCTGTGCTACCAACCCCGATTCTTACATTTTTATTTTTATTACATCAAGAAAACATACACAGTATTTCATGCATTTCTTAACCTAGTTTTGATGGATTTTATCAGGGATATAAAAACTGCAAGGGCAGCCAGAGTTGGACAAAAAATAATGAAGTTGCTGTTTAGAACTGTTTCTATTTAAGCTGTTTAGAACTGTTTCTATTTAAGCTTCTACACATGTATGGTAACTTTTGAGCAGATAGCGTTGTGTTTGAGCCCACCCTCAGTATGAATAAGGACCAGTTCAGGACTTCTAACTTCTCCAAAGCAGTGTGACTGGGGTGGGGGTGGGGAGACACTGGTTATCCCTTCCCCAATTTCCTGGGGTCTCTAGCGGTTGGGGACCAGTAGACCATCCCTTTTAAGTGTTCTGCATTCCAATCCTATGGGAAGCTATTCTGGCTAAAAACTCTTCATGTTGAAAAATGAAATAGGGCTACTAGGGGCTCAACATTGCATTTGCTAAGCTTTACAAGGGAACAATTTCCAGGGGGAGCTTTTAATGGGTGAGACAGTTAAAACAATTCCATAAAGTTACTTACTGTATCCCAGCTGGATTACATGTACTGACACAGCCATCCAAAAAATAAAATGGAGGGATCTAAACAAACAGTAGAAACCATAAGAGTATTTTTAGAACAACCTTGTCATCCTTTTCAAACATTTTTGCAGTCACAAAATATACTAATAGAAAAATACATTAATAATAATAAGTAATAAAAATTACTAATAACTATAAATTATAACACCCATACAGCAGTATCAATCAGATGTAGATGGAAAAATTGCTAAATGTCATATAAGAGGATCTTTTAATTAAAATTATATATTTTAATTTGCATTTCATATGATGGATTATATTCATTTACCTTAAAGTCCGCATGTTCTTTTTAGTGCAGTCTTCAGGGGAAAAAGTCTTGCTGCAAAGCTTTCCTGTGGTCCAAAATGCAAGCAACTCTTATAGAGGAATGAGTTTACAGTAATTTATAGAAAGAATAAACAATGGATACTCTCTAGTTTTCTCCTCCCTTTCTGTCACATGACTGACAATGTAATAATTTGCCTGGGGCTATGTTCTATTGTAGGCCTGTAAAATTGAGAGCCTTTCCTGTGGGACATGTTTGATTTGGATTTATTTCCAGATAAATAAAGAGCACTTATTCTATATCTTTTGCTCTGCTCCTAAGATTCTGGAAATATCTTTTATATATTTAAGTGCATTTACTTGATGTTCTTGATCAATGGAAATGAACTGTAAAGAGGTGAGAGGATCCTTTAAAATGATTAGCCTTTTCTTGTTAGCATTATTTTAAAGATGATTCAGACTCTCCCTTCTATAGCATTTTAGCTTCTTAAGTCTTCATCCATACCAGGAACTAAACACTTAGTAAAACAGATATCAAATTATAGGCCCTTTTAGATAAGTCCTATTTCAAGCTCTTTGTTTTTGCTGTTTAATTTTTGTTTTGCGTCTTAGAATATATCCAATACAGACAGAATTGGCAATCATTATCAGATCTCATGGAATAATTAACCCTTGTAGCCAAGCAGTTCACACTGAATTCATAGGACGAGTAGACATATAGAGGCTGAAATACAAACTAACCAACTATATTTTAGCCGAAAATGTTCTATGAGCCCAGACTATGTGGTGAGTTGATGGATGAGTGTGTGAGGCAAATCCAGAAAGTACCCCAATGTAGGAACAGATTATTTTTCATATTGGGTTCATTATATAAATCATAGATTCCACAGATAAGTGGAATCCATGATTTATATAATGAACCCAACATGCACCATGCAGAATACATTTGGATGATGATTTTTTATATGAGAGTAGGGACCTCTATATGTTTCTGTGGCAAAATTCCAGCATCTCTTATATCTGGCCATGTTGGTTAATTGTCACTAAAAGCTAGTGTAATAATGATTGATTCCCCATCTTACGATATTCCAGGTGCTGTTCATGGTGTAACTTGCAGCATCCTTCACCACTGGCCATGATTTCTAGAGATGCTAAATGTTTTTGTTCAATACTATCTAGGATGATACAGGTTGCCTGTTCCCAGAGTAGAGCATTTAAGAACAAGGCATTCATTACTATTTTTATTATTCAGTTACATGTGCCGGAATTGGTGCTCAATGCTTCTGTAAATATAAATGTTACTTATATTTGTTTCCTAGTTACTTTGAAGTAAGCCCTACTGGATTCAGTGAATAAAACTATATAGTGTCATCCTACGAGATACAAGAAATTGCTTAACCTTACTTCCACTTGGTGTTTAACACTTTTTAAAGCAATAATGACATTTTCATTATGCCCTAGAAAATAAAAGGTCTAATTATTTAGCCCTAATAAGTGGTCATCATCAACAACTTTGCACATGCAGAGCTAATGGGATACAGAATGTGAAATCTGAATGAGTAATTAATGAGTACTTTTGAGGAACCAAAAGAGTTCTTTTATGCATAGGTATTGTGTTAAATTAATTCCCCTGTACAGAAATGCCTTTAGTCCTATTCTTTGGGGGTTTTTTTTGTTTCTACTAGAAGCTGTTTGCTGAAGTTCATTAGGGCATTGTTCTGTGAGGAAAGATTAATTTCTTTAGACTAATTGTTTTATAATTGATTCTGAAACTACATTATTATTGATCATTTCATGTTGTTTGTTTCCATTTGTGTATCATTACTGCAATGAATAATACCCCTAATGGGATTGCCTGTGATTAGGCTATTGATGATGACTTGGGGAACAAAAAAAAGGAAAGAAATGGTTTCTCCTCTGAATTATGTGAAATTTAAATTTAAATGGAACAATATTGAGAAAACCCATTCTTTGAGAAATGGGCAATAAGGATTAGTCGCTTGTTAAGAACTAATAGATCTAAATTGAAAAGAGCTACTCCCAGAGGTGTTCCCCTTTGGCCTTGCTGGATGACCAGAATCAAGTTGCCATTTTGCTTTTTTGCTCTGCCAAAACACAAGATGAAATCTCAGGTCTATTATATCATGACCTTTCATTTATTCATTATTACCTCTCTGCCACTGGGCTGGATTAATAGTATATCCTAATGAAGTTAATAAAAATACATATACTTTTAGAATGTCGGGTGTTCATTGCTTTGTTTTTATGACCTAGCTTTTCTGAAGGGAGCATTGCATCCTTAACACATGCATAACAGGCAGAAATTGAACAAGTGTCATGTACAGGCAGTGTTTAGAGAGTCTGTATTTGATGGATATAACCCTTTGTCATAAATGCTACAGTAATAGAATACACTTTATTCAGCCAGTGGAATAAATTGGTGGAACAGATAAAAGTACATCAGTTAAGGGAATTCACTGCTACAAGATACAGTGATGAGCACTATTGGGAAGAGCAGAACCAAATATTCTACGTCTATCAATAAGAGCCAAAATCAATGGACTCATATGCTCCATCACATGCAGTGACCATGCTTGTGAGAATTGGAGTTTATATAAAAGATAAAGATAAATGTGACTTACGTCTAGCAACTACAAGGAGACACCCTTGCAGTTTTCTTAGCAACAGTATAGGAATGGGTTGCCAGTGGCACCCTCAATGATTTTTTCCCCAAATTCCTTATCTAGTCCACAGCTTGGGATTTGCTGATTTTTCTCCCATCTAAGGACTAACCAGATCCAACCCTGCTTAGATGTGTTAAGATCCACTAGTGTTGCCTAGATGCTGCCACCTGTTCCTTGGCTCACTGCCTCTAGTCCCTTACTAACCAGGACAGGGAACCACATTTTTTAATCCACCAAAAGGGTGGATGGGGAGAATGTCTTCAGGCCAAATGTCAAGAATAAAAAGATGGCAACGTGATGAAACGAGGACTTGCACTGCAGTGGAAGATGGTCCATATTCTTAAAACCCATGATAATACTTACCTAAAGCTAGGTAAGAAAAACAAAGCAATGAACACCCGACATTCTAAAAGTATATGTATTTTTATTAACTTCATTCCGATTGATCTACAAAGTTATCAGGATTAAATGCTTGGCAGTTCAGCAAAAGAGGCTGTTTGGGAAAGAGGGATGTATTTCCTAATATTTCATATGCAAACTACAGTATCTACATGTTAAGATTTTCTTGAAGCCCGCTTATGAAATGGGATAGGGAATTAGAGATTTGCCCCTTTCTTCTTTTCACCACCAGTAGAAAGTCATGTTATTAAGGAAGATGTGCTGGTCCTCCTTTTGAAGGGATTTCCTTCACTGATTACTATAAATTGTTTTCCTTTATATTTTCTGTTTCTTGATGTTTAATTAGTTAATTTGTTTTTGATTATTGTTTTCTGTATATCATATTTAGTTATGTATTTGTTTTAACAAATTTCCCTGAAAAGGATAGGATACTGCTGCGTAAGATAAATGAGTAAATAAAATGTATTGTAAAATAATATTTGTAGAATCCTATTTAAATAGAGAAATCAACTTTGCAATTCAATCAATAGGCAGTATAAAATGGCAATTTCAATGTTACAGATAGGTTAAAATACGCTATTTTCAAACACCAAGCCAGGAAGATTCCACAAAAAAGCTTATGGTCATCTAAAAAATGACCATAATTCTAGAGTTTATAAGGAATAGATTAATAGACCTTCCAGTCCATATTTGTTCTGTCTCCACAGGAAGCTAATATTTCAAATAATTTGTCCGCAAGGTTGTGATGGCCTAGATATTTTCACTACAGTGATATTCACAGTTGCATTAAAACATAATAAATACTGTCAAAAGTGTTTCTTCTGGGTGACAGAAGAAATCTCAGTCTGGTGTTTTTCTAATGTAATTCTTGAAATAACTACATAGAGGATTGAAGCTTAAAAATAATCCATCACCTGGGTAAGCATATAATATTATAGAAAAAGCAAAATTTCTGTTGCACAGATATGCTGGTCTTTGACTGTAATAATGATTTGATTTGATTTGATCTGTTGCACAGATTATGTTAAAATTATCTAGTAGGTAAAATTCAGTGAAAAGTCACTGAGGTGTGGTGATTCAAGTGTTGGACAAGGACCAGGAAGACCCTGGTTCAAGACTGCCTTCAGCCACGCAAGATCATTGGATGATTTTGGGGCAGTAGCTCTCTCTCAGGTGGACCTACCTCACTGGGTTGTTGGTGTGGAGAAAAATAGGAAGAGGGAGGGAGTATACATACATAATACATACACACACACACCACCCTGAGCTCCTGGAGGAGGGGAGACTATAAATTTGACAAATCAATAAAGCCATAAATAAATATGAACTAAAGGAAAGCTTCAACTATATCAATGGGGTAATGACAGCGTTCCTTTCTTGCCTTTTAACCAACTTGTTCTATTCTCATTAATTTAATATTTTCTGTCTCTCCTTTCTCTTCCCATCCCTGCTTGATCTCTCTGGGTAGCAATTGATGTATATATTTTATGAATATCTTAAATGATCTTCATACCTCATTATCATATTTATATTATATTGTCATTAAATTCAAGAATACAAGAAAACAAGGGCCTCTGAGTTTTAAAGAACAAATTGAGATGTGATTCTCAAATATCTAAGGCAAGAGAATG